TCTCTGTTGCCCAGGCTGGAGTGCGGTGGCATGATCTTGGCTCACTGCAAGCTCTACCTCCCGGGTTCATGCCATTCTCCTGCCTCAGCCTCCTGAGTAGCTGGGACTACAGGTGCCCGCCACCACGCCCGGCTAATTTTTTGTATTTTCAATAGAGACAGGGTTTTACCACGTTAGCCAGGATGGTCTCAATCTCCTGACCTCATGATCCACCCACCTCGGCCTTCCAAAGTGCTGGGATTACAGGTGTGAGCCACTGCGCCCGGCCAATATTCTTTAATCTAGAAAGCAAATACTAGTTTGTATGAAGTACTTAGCAAAACAAACAAACAACAAAAAAAACCCAGCTCATTTTCTACAAATGTATTTTATATTTTCTGTATACTTGTTGTTATTTTACTGTGCTTTTATTTTCACTCTTAGAAACAGGCAGCCAATATATAGAGCAACCTTCCTCAAACTTTTAATGTTAATCTCGTGACCAAAGTAGAAAATTTCCCCTCTACCAGCCCTCTTCTTCCAATCGAAGTTACACACAAAGAGCTTTGCCTAAAAACGGAAGTTATTTGCTCTATAGAGAGTTACAGTTAAAATCTTTATAAGGGTCTTTCAAGTTGTTTTATTCCAGTGAATTTTTTTTTTTTTTTTGATACAGGGTCTTACTCTGTCACCCAGGCTGGAGTGCAGTGGTGCAGTGGTGCGATCATGGCTCAGTGCAACCTCCGCCACCCAGGCTCAAGTGATCCTCCCACCTCAGGCTCCAGAGCAGCTAGGACAACAGTTGCATGCCACCACACCCAGCTAATTTTTGTATTTTTTGTATAGACAGGGTTTCACTATGTTGCCCAGGCTGTTCTCGAACTCCTGAGCTCAAGTGATCTGCCCACTTCAGCCTCTCAAAGTGCTGAGATTACCAGTTAGGAGCCACCACACCCGACTCCAGTGATTTTTTAAATTATTAAATGAATAAACAATTTCTAACCTCTGGGAAGAAAAGATAAATTCACAGAGTCTGGGCTTTCTCTTTGAAGTTGAGGCTGTTCGAAGTCAGCAGGGGGGAAAATTCCAGATAGTGGCTGCTCCTGCCCGGTCTCAGCCAGGGCCCCTTCTTCGTTCCTCAGGCTCTGCTCCTGGGACTCCTCCTGGACTCCCCGCAGTCCTCAGCCCTGGTCTCCTCATCCAATCAATCACCAGGTCCTGTTGACTCGACTTTTTCTTTCCTTTCTGGTTGGCCAGCCCTTCTATCTGTAGGACACGTGATGACTGTTTCTCCAGGACCTGTTCTCTAAAGGGAGTGACCTGTATTCTGAAGATATTTGTGGAAATGTCCCCATACAGGAGACGTCAGTTTTGGCCGTTTGTCTACCTACTCTTTGGTTTGCTATGTGGCCCTGAGAAAGTAATAAAGTATTACACGAGATGCTCTGTATATTAGTTTGCTGTTACCTCATAATAATCTACCTCCAAATTCAGTGACTAATGCAACAGTTAATTGTTTAGCACATGTCTGAGGGGTGGCTGAATATGACTGACCTAAGCTAGCCCAGGCTAGGGGACTCTGTGGACGTCCTCGTGTGTCCGCAGGTGGGCTGGGGAGCTCGGGTTGTGCTCAGCTGCGGCAGCTCTGCTCCAGTTTTCCTGTCCTCCTTGGCCGGCGGCCCAGCCCCCCCAGTTCTCAGGGTGATGCTGACTCTGCTTGTGTTCAGCTGTTGTCTCTTGGTGAAGTTACCATCATCGCTTGCCTGGAATGCCACACCCAATCCCCATTCCCCCCAAAACCTGGTCTCCCCGCATCTCCCCCAGTGTATCCCCTCAAAATCAGACAACGTGACCTTTTAAAAAAATACAAACCTCGGCGGGGGGGTGGTAGCTCACGCCTGTAATCCCAGCACTTTGGGAGGCCAAGGCAGGCGGATCATCTGGGGTCAGGAGGTCAAGACCAGCCTGGCCAACATGGCAAAACCCTGTGTCTACTAAAAAATATAAAAATTAGCTGGGTGTGGTGGTGCACACCTGTAGTCCCAGCTCCTCAGGAGGCTAAGGCAGGAGAATTGCTTGAACCTGGGAGGCAGAGGTTGTAGTGAGCTGAGATTGCGCCACTGCACTCCAGGCTGGGCAACAGAGCGAGACTCCATCTCAACAAAACAAAACAAAAACCTCACCTTGCTTAAAAACTCCTGAGTTGCTCCATCCTTAGGCTGAGGCTCCAAGCTGCTCCACGATGTGGAAAGAACCCTCTTTCTTGCCTGCCGCCATCCCAGACTCCCTTCAGTTCTTTGCATGTGCCGCTCCTCCTGCCTGGACAGCTCCTCTCCCCACCTTCACACAGCCAATCCTCATCATTACTTTGCAAGGGTAAGTATCCCCTCCCCAGGGAGCCCTTCCCTGGCCCATCCCATCGGCTCTGGCAGCACTCTTATTTCCCCCTTTGTAACATTCATAAGACTTGTCATTTTCTTCTTGGATTTCCCTGCTAGACACAGGCTCTGTGAAGGTTCGTCTGTCTTGTTTACTGGTTGCTCCCTGGCACCTGGCACTCGGTGGCCTTAGTCAATACTGAGTAAACAAATTAATGAGTGAAAGAGTTTTTTTTTTTTTTTTGAGACGGAGTCTCGCGCCGTCGCCCAGGCTGGAGTGCAGTGGCTTGATCTCGGCTCACTGCAAGCTCCGCCTCCCGGGTTCACACCATTCTCCTGCCTCAGCCTCCCGAGTAGCTGGGACTACAGGCGCCGCCACCTCGCCCAGCAAGTTTTTTTGTATTTTTTAGTAGAGACGGGGTTTCACCGTGTTAGCCAGGATGGTCTCGATCTCCTACCTCGTGATCCGCCCGCTTCGGCCTCCCAAAGTGCTGGGATTACAGGCTTGAGCCACCGCGCCCGGCCGAAAGGGGTTTAGAGAAAAGGCCCTGACTCTGTACATGATCTGCAGATGTTCAGGCTCTTCGTTTTAACACCTGAAGATCTGAGCGTTGGCCTAGGGGAGCTCTGGTGTTTGCCATCTTTGTAGGCTTCACCCTCTGCCTGTCCCTTTTGCTCCTGGATGACGGGGGGTTGTATGGCAGGGCTTGAGAAATGGGCGAGGCTGTGGATGAGGGGAGTTAGTAGCTAATTACTTAGTAGCAGGACGGAGTATACCTAAAGTAATCTAGCCAATTCTTTCAGTTCCAAAATCCTGATCCCAACAGCCATCAGAACAACACAGCCCTGTACTTGGCTGTGCAAGACTTCCCAGCCATGAGGTCATGCCAGCCAGCCCAGCCCAGAGCCATCCCTGAATGTCTAGGACATAGCCTTGCTCGGCCAATGAGTTTTTGCCTGGGAAGTTAACTAATGACAGTATTTCTCATTTGCCAAATGTTAGCGCTGCTAAGTGATCTCCAGACCCCAGCCTGGATCCTATCTTCAGAGCAGGCATAAGTTCTAGAGAGTTCTGTGAGGCTGGCAGGCCATGGACGTTCGAGCTGCCCACAGTCCCCTCAGTTGGTGCATAGTCAAGGAGGCGGAAAGATTCCCTAGAGAAACACCAGGGATCATCCCCATGGGAATGCCGCTTTCTTCAAAGCTCTAGCATCAATACTGGGTCATCTGAGTTGGGGAGTACCCAGTGCCAGGCTCTGCCTGCCAGATATACACCTGAGATGCGGAGGACCAGGCCTGTTTGTGGCATTTCCTACCACAGAATTCGGATTTATATCTTTCTGCAAATTCCAACTGCATAGTTAATTTTACAAAATTAAGTTTGCATTAGCAAGGCTTTGGGCATGTTCAAACCCATTCATGCAGTTTAATGAACACAAAAGCAACCTGCTGTTACAGCCTGCAGCCCACGTTAAGTTTGGGTGGACTGCCTCATTGCTTAAAACCTGGAGGCGTGGGAGAAGTCTACTATGGAGCTGTTATCTTGCTAGCAATTTGATACCTTTAGCACGGAGGTTCAAATCTGGACTTCGGTTCCAAGCAGCAGTTGCTTAAATTAAGTATAAATCGGCAGTGCTGTCGTTAGTACCGTGGTTGGAGGCATTCACTGCTGAGTGACCACGAACTCCACTGATGCAGGGTGGGAAACCTGAGCCAGAGCCACACACAGGGCTGGGCTGGGTGGCTCTGCCCCGTGACAGTCAGCTGAAGGGAGTGATTACTCTTGCCACGTCACCTCCATTCACTGTCCACCGAACGGCTCTCCCCACATTAAGGGCTTTGCATGTGCTCTAACACTGCAGCTCCCAGGCAGGAACTGGTTAGAGGGTAAGAGATCTGGGACTTGCTAAGAGCTTCATTATTTTCACAGATGCTCAAGACTTATCCTGAAACAGGCAGGGCGCAGTGGCTCACGTCTGTAGTCCCAGCACTTTGAGGGGATCATGAGGTCAGGAGTTCAAGACCAGCCTGGCCAACATAGTGAAACCCTATCTCTACTAAAAATACACAAACTTAGCTGGGCGTGGTGGCAGGCCCCTGTAATCTCAACTACTCAGGAGGCTGAGGCAGGAGAATGGCTTGAACCCAGGAAGCAGAGGTTACAGTGAGCCAAGATCGCACCACTGCACTCCAGCCTGGGTGACAGAGCGAGACTCCATCTCAATAATAATAAAAAAAAGACTTTATCCGGAAATCAAAGGTTGTACTGCCAAATAGAGTGGCTACATGTTACATCTACTTGAATGCATCACTGCAGCAAATCTATGCTCTCTGGAAGACAGCAGAAGACATGAGTTCTCACGTGAGGGTGAGAAGAACGTGGGCTCAGACTGTGCGTGCCCACTCCCATGACTGTGAGAGTTAAAATGAGGGGGTGACAGTGCTGCAGCTATTCCAGGACTGGTGCTATTTATATGAGCCTGTTCCAAACCTTAACACACAGATACCAAATCCACTCAGCACTGTATGCAAAGGGAAACAAGAAACCACTTTGACGGGTCTGGTCCCTCGTAAACACCCCAGATGACAAGCAAGTTATTTAATACGTTCTTTCGATGTTTGGAATGAATCTGTTTCCAAGAATAAAAGCATACAAACAATATCTTTATTACCTGTAATATGCTTAAAGAGCAGGGGTCCCCAACTGGTTAAACATGAAAAACACTGGCAGAGCTTTAGAAAGAGAGGAAAATGTGCCTCACCTCTCACTTACTGAGTCAGAATCTGCAGAGAGCGAAGTGCTGAGATGTCTTTTAAAAAAGCGCTCCAACTCTCCAGGTGCTTCTGTCTACCAGCCAGATGTGGGCACCAGTGCTGCGCAGCACGTTCCCGGCTTCAGGGTATGGTGGTTGTCCTGGGCTTGGATCAGGCTGGGGGCTCTCATTTACCAGGTGTTGGGAGGGGCTGGAGCCTGCATTTCCAGCAAGCTCCCAGGTGGGGCTAAGGTTGCTGATCTGCAGTGCGCCATCTCTGGGCGTGTACCTACACACCCGTCACCGTTGTTGTACTGGGTTCAGGTGTAAGTTACAGGGTGCACTGTGTACCCTCGCAGCCCTGCCCTACTCCACACTGCCCCCAGTCTCAAGCGGGGCTTGGACTTGCCTTCACCAAGGCACTTCTTTTCTCGGGTCAAACCCTCCCCTGAGGGCCCCCAACAGCCCTCTCCAGGCCTTCTGTCAGTAGAAAATGAAAATGCATTAATCGGCAGGGGTTTATCTGGTGTGAAAGGCTCAGGGAGATAATTCTTTTTATTGTCAAGGACCAAGAAACAACATGTAGAAATGCTATACACAATGGCCATGAGCTACAAGATAGGAGTGGGGTGGAGGGGAGACGTGGTAACACACAGCACTATTCTGAACAAACTCCAGCTCTCCATTCTAACACGTGAACCAAGGAGACACAGCCATCCTTTTTCACTAAGGCTGCAACAGAACGCAAACGTGACTTGGTTTATCAGCTCCCACAGGGCAGGCAGCGCAAAAGGCTATTGTAAGCTGGTTTTGGGAGCCCCCATCTCAAACAGAGAGTGGATGCTGAAGGTGGTCCCTGGCCGCCGCTGGTGGCTGGTCCCCGGCTTGCTAGGTCCTGGGCATGTCTCGATTCTCAATGATCAGCTTGTCAGTTGAATACAGTTGGCCAACGTGGACCTGAAGGCAAAGAAAGGACACAGGTCAGGAACCGTGGCCCTCTAGCCCCTGGGAAAGGTCAGAAGGAATATTTCCTAACATTTCGAATACAAATGTTGGCCATCCCACGGCTGCTCCCTTCTGGCAACTGCACTGTGGGGCAAAGCCAGTCATTAGAGCCGCTTGGCTAGCTCCTTGCACCATCCAACGCCCACTTCCCTCACCGTGAGAAGTTACAGAGATCCACACACCCATTCCTTCTCTGAAACAGCACAGGGGGCTGTGCTGAGCCGGGTGAGGCCTGCCTGCTGCTGGCGTAGCTGTCAGATGTGTGTCCAGTACCTCCTTTCCTAAGACGGTTTCCTTCCCTTTGAACTGCTTCTTGCATAGGGAAAGGGTTTTAGAACAATGCAGAAATGGGTGCCGACTATGCTGGGGTAGAAAAAGCACTGCATTCGGGGTAATGCGAACACTATTCTGTGGCCCGTCCCGGGTGGGGTTGAGGGCAGCTGTCTGAGTGCCTGCACCTCCTGCCTTCCACCTTTCCTGCCCCCTTCTTTTTAAAGTGTCCTTTTACTAAGTGTCTTCATGCCCAATGTTTCCACTGTCCCAGGTGGATGCTGGAGTCATCATCTGGGGCTAGAGCAGGTCTTTCCTCGGGAACAAAGGGTCTTGCCACAATTTTTCTGTAAAAGCATTTCCTGAGTGATACATTTTTAAGGATAAGTGGAACTGGTGAAGAAAGGGCTGACCATTAGCAGCTCTATCTGGATTTCAGACCAGTTGGTCACTATCTATGGGAAATTCGAGGTGAGTAACTGCTGTTTAAGCAAACGATAGTAAACTCCTAAAGGCCACAGCTACCACCCAGAGCAGCCAGGGCTCAACATCCTCATATGGTTTTCCTCCCCGACCTTAGTGCTCTGTTTCGAAGTGAAGGCCCCGGACAGAAGGCGATCATGTCATTACTACAGCACGTGTTAAAGAGCAGTACTCTGTCACCAAGGACAGCCCCGCGGTCCATCTGAGGTGTCCTGTTTTCCATGCCATTGCTCGGTCTTCGGTCTGCCCTTGCACAGAGGTATCCTGAAGGTCCGTGGCACGGATAATAACTGCTAAGTGTTGCGGTGCAAGAGAAAGCGAAGAGGCAAGAGCAGCGGGTCATCTAAGAAGAAAGAAAAGTAGACAGTGGAGATTTGGGGGATGGGGGAGATCTTGCAAGTATTTTTAAATGCAAGTGAATGTCCTAATTAAAAACCAAAAGAGATAGGTAGGAGTTATGGGAAGGCGGTGTAGAGAACGAGCGCTCCAGCACAACTCCTAACAAGTCACAGTGATGAGCTTGGCTACTGTGTCCTCAGTCCTCCCTTCCGCTCACTAATATAGAGAAGACTTTGGATACAAGTGGATGGGAGTGGGGGGTCTGGGGTGCTGCATTTCTCACAACCTGCAGGTAATGCTGATCTGCTGGTCCATGGGCCACACTTTAGGTGGCAAGGTCGGAAATCATCTTGAGGGCTGTGAGGAGCCGCACTGGGTTTCTTGGGGGCTACAGTACAGTCATGATGAATGCAGGGACTTTCTGAGTTTCCCTGCTGGACAACCTGAAAGCGCTACTGGGTGAGCCGAAGCCATCTATACCCTCCTACAGAGAAGAGGAGGATTGGCGTTGTCCTCCACCCTGAATAGTACACGGCTTTGTTCTCATATATTAACCTCAACAGATAGATGCACCCACTATCAAACGATACTGAGAACAGAAAGGCTAGAATACCAATGATCCTTAAAAAAAAGGGAACCATTACTTTTTGGATAATTAAAACGAGGCTAATACAAACAATTTTGTATAACAGCTTGGATGGTTCAGTTACCTGGGAGCTTGTTCTGTATTTAATTGATCTCAGGGGATTCACCAGGAACCCATCCTAGAAGTATCCACAATCGGACATTCCATGAGTACTTGACAGAGTTTACCATCATCTTCTCAAGGCTTTAGTGGCAGGCAGGGGTTATGGAATGGCATAAGAAGAAACCCGTTCAAAACTGCAATGGGCTGGCTTGGGAAGCTGTGAGTTCTGTCCCCGTGAGGAGCAGAAAGTGAGGATGGAGAAGGAAGGTATATGCTAGACCAGGGGTGAACCAGATGGATTCCTTCCGACTCTCAGCTTCTGTGATTACAGGCACTGTCCATGGCTCCAGGATCCATCTGGGACGCATGGTCTCTGAATGGCCCAGTGTTAATCCACATGTTCTACTTCTGGCACTCTGGAAGGAAAGGCGGCACCCTGGAAAGGCCCTGGGATGAGGGGGAGGGGGGCAGCGGGAACAGGACAGCTGGGCTGCAGCTGGGATGGCTCCGCCACTTGCCATGTGAGACTCTCCACTTCCTCTAGACTCAGTTCCTCACCTGTGGGATGAGGTCTGGAAACTTCTAGGTGATCTTTACGGTCCTTTGCAGCTCCAGCAGTCTTTGGGCCCTCAATAAAGTTGGCCAGTGTCAAGAAAAAGATGTGTGAGGTCCCCAACCAGTACAGCGCCTACATGGCATGGGAGTCCCTAGGGCAGCTGGTGGGAATCTGGCCAAGGGAGAGTCATGGCAGACATGGAGGGGAGAAACATGTTGCAGCAGCAGGAGGGGTGACTGGCTTCCCGCTCCCTCCTGAAGGGAGGGCACACCTCTGTCCACCCGTTCACCGCCTGCAGCGCATGCTCGCGAAGCCCGCCCTCCTCTTTGCAGCCACCTGGACCATGTGTGTGGTCTGTGTGTGTGGTCCCTATGAGGTCACGTGCTCTAGTTCACGTCTGTCTTCCCTTCTCCAGCCCCCTGAGAGCCCCTCAAGGGCAGGACTGGTGAACGCTGCTTTCTGTGTCCCTGGGCCCCACACAGTCCTAGGAGACAACACTGCTCAGCAGATCTGTGACGAGCGAGCGAGAGAAGGAATCTGAGCCCAGTGCACTCAGAGCAAGTGGCTCTGCAGCGAAGATGGACAGGCAGGCAGGGCCCTTTCCTACAAGTGAAAGGCATACACAGCACACAATGCACAGGTGTTCAAAGACCCAGAAAACCCGGAGGAGCCCTGGAAGGGCAGCCCCAGCCCTGAGTCATTCTGCAGACAAGCAGTGAGCACCTCCTGTTCCAGGCACCTTGTGCGGGTGAGACTTTCAGATGTGATTAATGCCTGCAGAAATCTCTGAGTCCAGGAAGGGAAAACAGACAAGAATTGAGATAAACGACCTAGCATCTGGAATGTACTAGCACAGGAGGGCACACAGGACTAGAGGGATCTAGAAGATGTGACTCAGCCTGAGGGAGTCACAGAAGACTTCTCAGAGGAGACAGCCTCAGGGGAGGAGGAGCTCAGAGGCCCAGAGGCTGGAGCCGCGGCAGGGGTGAGAAGCCCATGACACGACTGGATGCGGAGACTGTCAGAGACAGAAATAGACTAAGTGTGGATACGGAAGGGTGAGGATGAGGATGGGGGTGGAGACGGCAGAGAAGAGAGAATAAAAGGAAAGTGTGGTAGGGCCAGAACACAGATGCCATGCTCCACTTGGAGGGAATGGAAAGCTGGTAGAATGTTAAAAATGGAGGACCAGAGCATCCAGACCTGTGGTTAAAAAGATCACCTTGTCCTAGGGTCAAGGCAAGGAAGAGGTGGAGAGTTGTGGCAGGGGACCCGGTTAAGGGACCAGTAAGAGTGCAGGTGAGGCTGGGCGCGGTGGCTTACACCTTTAATCCCAGCACTTTGGGAGGTCGAGGTGGGTGGATCACGGGGTCACAGGTCCGAGACCAGCCTGACCAACATGGTAAAGCCCCGTCTCTACTAAAAATATATGGGGCGAGGTTGCGGGCGCCTATAATCCCAGCTATTCAGGAGGCTGAGGCAGAAGAATGGCGTGAACCCGGGAGGCGGAGGTTGCAGTGAGCCGAGATCGTGTCACTGCACTCTGGCCTGGGTGACAGAGTGAGACTCCGTCTCAAAAAAAAAAAAAAAAAGAAAAGGAGTGCAGGTGAGAGGTGACTCAGCTTGGAAGGAGTGGCAGAAGTTATAGAGGGGCAGCCAGAGGAATGGGTGCTGCCCTGAAAGGGGACCCACCCTTGCAAGTCCAAGACTGCTGCACGTGGAGGCTGTAAGAATCACTGCCCTCAGCTTTTGGTGAAGAATGAAGCCCACAAGAATCAATCCACATAGAAGCAAAGACATGAACCCCAGATCTTCTGATCTCTGTCCAGTGCTTTCTCCAAAATGCTGCTCCTCTACCAGGTCCCAACCATTTCTTCCTTTCTTTTCTCTTTCTCTCTCTTTTTTTTAGAGACAGGTTCTCACTATGTTGCCCAGGTTGGTCTTCAACTCCTGGGCTTCAGTGATCCTCCTGCCTCAGCCTCCTGAGTAGCTGGGATTACAGGCACGTGCCACCATGCCTGGCTAATCAATGATTTCTTCATAACGCAAATTACACATCACTATAATTATGAACCTATGTTATGAAAATTTGAGATAACCACATGAGAGAACTGTGGACTGCCCAGCATCCATCTCTCCTTTTTCCTTACAGGGTCAGTGCACATCTAGAAGTTTACACTCTCCAGACTCCTGTGCAGCTAGACGTGGCCAATGAGGTGTCAGCTGTCATCAAGGCAGGAGCATCTAGGAAAGTTCTTTAAAGTGGGCCGCCTCAGACTGGGGGCACTCCACTGCCTGCCTGCCCCCTAGTGTGTCTCCGTTCTGCCTGGAATATGAACTTGATAGCTGGAACACCAGCAGACATCTAGCACCGTAAGGTAAGTTTGATATGGGAGCTCCACGCTAAGGCTGGGGGGTAGAAAGGAGGTGTCTGAGTACTTGATGACCATGGGGACACCATGCCAGCTCTGGACACCTTATTGCCAGCTTTCTTTTATGTGTGAGAAAAATAAACCTCCATCTTTTAAAAGCTCCTGTTAATTGGGTTTCTTGCTACATACAGCTAAACCAATCTTTACTGACTTGAATGCACAATGAGAATTTTAATGTGAGATCACAGGACTAATAAAACGAAGGCTGGTGCAGAGAAGGGGGTGATCTGTGCCCTGTGGCAAGTGGAAACAATGTCCCTGTCATCTGGGGAGGTGCAATTAACAGGTACCTACTGTAGCTGTTTCCAAAGTTTAAAAAAGCGACACGGGAAATTATAAAGATTCTGTTCTTTTTCTCTTTAAATCAGGGGTGTCCAATCTTTTTGCTTCCCCGGGCCACACATAAAACCCACAACATTAACAAAAGCTGATGAGCTAAAGAAAAAAGACATCGCAAAAAAAATCTCATGTTTTAAGTTTACAAATTTGTGTTGGGCTGCATTCAAGGCCATCCTGGGCTGCACATGGCCCACAGGCTGTGGGTTGGACAAGCTTGCTCTAAATATTTAGTTGCATTCGGATATGTGGCTATTAGTAGTTTGGTATTTTTGAGTAGTCTGTTAAATCACATGTAGATTTAAAATATACAGAATATTTAAATGTGGGATCATAGCATAACTTGCTTTTGAACTTAACTTCATATTATGATCCTTATGTCATTAACTGTCCTTTGAAGGAATATTTTCAGTAACTGTGTAATACTCCATTGTAAAGATGTATTATAATCTATTTAATCACTCCCATATGATGAACATTTAGACTGTTTTCACTTAATGCCAGGATTATCATTCATATATAACCTTTTATCAAATCTGACTTTTTTCCTTATAAAAGGTTTCTAGAAATAGAATTGTTGGATAAACAGATATGAATTTTTTTTTTTTTTGAGATGGAGTCTTGTTCTGTCGCCCAGGCCAGAGTGCAGTGGCCCACTGCAAGCTCCGCCTCCCGGGTTCACGCCATTCTCCTGCCTCAGCCTCCCGAGTAGCTGGGACTACAGGCGCCCGCCAACACGCTGGGTTAATTTTTTTGTGTTTTTAGTAGAGACGGGGTTTCACCGTGGTCTCGATCTCCTGACCTCGTGATCCACCCACCTCGGCCTCCCAAAGTGCTGGGATTACAGGCGTGAGCCACCGCGCCCGGCCAGATATGAATATTTTTATGGTTACTGATGGATCTTGCAAAACTACTTTCCAGAAGGTCTGTTTGTCTGGCCGACACTTCCTCTGGTGGTCCCTTTGAAGGCTTTGGTGGCACACTTATCATGC